GAACTGCTAATAGAAGGAGGAGACACGATAAAAAAAATGCTAAAAATACTGTTCAACAAATGTCTGTTTGAAGGTAAAATACCTAAACAATGGAGAAATGCCAACACAATCTTAATACATAAGAAAGGAGACCGAACAGACCTAACCGTCCTATTTCCCTTTTGTCACAACTATATAAAACCTTCACAAGAATAATAAACAACCGACTAACCTATAAACTTGATAACTACCAACCAGTGGAACAGGCCAGATTCAGGAAAGGATACAGCACAATCGACTTAAAAGCATAAAACAGCACAATGCGCTTAAAATCTTAATTGAGAAAACCAATGAATACAACCTTCCGCTGTACTTAGTATTCGTAGATTATGAAAAGGCTTTCGACAGCATTGAACACTGAGCCGTTGAAGAAGCTCTGGTCAGTAGCATAGATTCAAGATACCGACAATTGATACATTATATTTACCAAAACGCAAATATGACCGTTATTCTGGACGACAAATTAATAACGGATAATATAAAAGTTAAACGAGGAGTCCGACAAGGCGATATAATTTCACTTGAACTGTTTACCTTGACACTCGAAGATATAATAAAATCAACAGATTGGGAAAACAGAGAAATATGTATTAACGGAAAGTACCTAAATCACCTTAGATATGCGGATGATATACTCCTGATCTCCTCGGAACGACAAGAACTGGAATTAATGTTGAATGAACTTCATGAAAAATCACTGCAAAAAGGCCTAAACATTAACTTCAACAAAACAAAATAACAAACACGGAAGACCAAGAGGCAATAAAAATACAAACAGAAAAAATAGAACAGGTGAATGAGTATATCTATCTAGGACAAGCAATCAGAGCTAATAGAGAAAATCAAACAGCCGAAATATCGAGACGAGTAAGAATGGGATGGGCATCGTTCGGCAAACTTTCTTACGTTCTAAAAAATCAAACAATCCCTCTATACTTACGAAGCAAGATATATAACTCCTGTATAATACCGGTGCTCACCTACGGAGCACAGACATGGACATTTACACAGGCCGATTTGGATAGGATAAGGAAGGCACAAAGAGCGATGGAGCGACAAATGTTGGGTATATCACTTAAAGATAGAAAACGTAACCAATGGATCAGGACCAGAACAAAGACAGTAGACGTGATAGAACAAGCAGCAAAACTGAAATGGAAATGGGCTGGACACAATGAACGTCTCCAAGACGGACGATGGAACAATGCCATCGGAAAGTGGCGTCCATACAATGCAAAGAGATCAAGAGGCAGACCACAGATGAGGTGGAAAGATGACATCAGGAAACAAGGAGGTCCCACATGACAGAGAACAGCTCAATATAGGGAAAGATGGAGAGAACTTTACACTTTCGGGTGCTTTGAAACCTCAATACTCCGGGAGTATTGGATTTTCGGAAGTGTAAGACTTCCAAATTCCAGAAGAACTGGAAGAGAGGTGATGAAAAATACTAAAATATGGCTAAGCTCAGAGGAACAAATTTAAATGGCCAAAGAGACACTAAATCTCAAGTGAGTGTTCGGGCTAGCTTCAATGCACTGAATTGTGGCTTTAAAGATAGAAAGCAGATAGCAAGGATAATGAGCTAATGAGACAAGAAACGAAATGAGACTTGTTAATATCAAATGTGATACAACTAAAGAAGGTAAATTTATAGAAAAAGAACAATAAGAAGAGAAGAAGAAGGGCGCCAACTCAACGATAGTTGAGATTTTGAAGTAACAAATGACAAGAAACAAACGATACTGGAGATAATAACCTGAAATACAAAATACTCAATACTAATCTTGTCTTGCTATGTTATATACTGGTTTGTAGAAACTGAAATAAAACTCAAAATAGTAACAATAAATATATTTGTAAAACGTGTATATAGATATATATATATATATATATATATATATATATATATATATATATATATATATATATATATATGTATGAACAATTTACATATAATGCAAAGCTAAATAACAGTGGTAGTGGATGGTGTAAATATACAATAGGACCAAATAGCCCCTCAACAAGCGAATAGTCACTACCACTAGCCAAATAAAGTGTGAAATATTAGTAAAAACCTAGAATAATCCATATGGTAGCCAAAGTCTTAACACAAAAAGGTAGTAATTTAAATTTATAGATAAATAAATAGATAAATCTATTACAATTATATTATATTACATCCAAAAAAGTGAGTCTTCAATACTCTTTATATAATGTTTAAAAAAAAAACCACATGAAATTTATTTCCCTTTCCCAAAATCAAAATTCTATTGTATCAAAATGTTTTGTCTTAAAAAAAATATATTATATCAAAAAAAAGTGAGTTTGGTCAAACCCTTTACATCCTAGTAAAAAAAAACCTAATAAAACATGAAAGGTATTTTCTTCTCCCCAATATCTTAGAATTTGATTATCAAAATTATATTCACCTTATCATATGCATATGAAAAGTTAACAATAAATAGAAAGTAACCCAAAAAGTCAAATAGTTAAACAACTTATCTTAGCAACACTATAAGTCCATAGGAAAACTCCTCTTGGCACGGCTAAATTAATTCATGGTTGTGGTGACAAGTCCCATGGTTCCGGGTGACAGCAAAATCCACGGGTTACATACGCAAGTTGCTAACTATCTAAGGATTCAAAATTACTAACTAATATCCTCGAGGGAATATTTTCAAGTTACGGAATCTAAAAGAGTTATGTAATTTAATAAATGCAATTCAATAGCTGTAGAAGCGTGGATTGACTACACCAAAACAAAACATCAAAACATTAGGTATTAGCAAAGAATATAGATTAGGTCAACATCATGTCAAATTTATGAAGTTACTTTCGTAGGCATGGCAAGCTTGCGCCATGAAATGAACATGCGCAGAATACAGAAGGCTGAAGAACCTTTTATATTCCACCAAAAAAGTGAGAGAAAAAAGAACCAAAAAACTTACTGATAAGATATGGAATAGATCGGAATTTAAGTTTGACTATATAAAAAATGACCTTATGTTCTTTGCGAGTGAATGAAGGAAATTTTAAATTTAAATTATTTCGGAACTCAAAAATAAATCTCTAAAGAAATACTAAACTGCAATGATAAATTTGATTGTATGATAAAGAGATAATACGTATGAAATTATTTACTTACATGGAACCGCAGCACGCCAAAAAAAATCTTCCTTTTTATGTGGAACTCTTATAAATGAATATTGATTTTATTAGAAAAATTACTTATTTATATTATTATTTATGAATTATATATTTTTTATTCTTGTCCTAGATTTTGTTTGTCCCAATTCCGTCACTTTGAACGTGAGAAAAACTCACCGGTTGGCGTGTCTGCATTTACGAGTTCTGACCAAAACTAACCGCTTTCGCACAGACTCGACCAATCTTCCTGTCAAAGCGACTCCTGCACGTGTGTGGAAAAATGTCGATTTAAAATCGATCGTAGGCGGGTAATAAGAAATTTCGTGAGGGGTTTTAGTTGGACTAGTCAGTAGCGTAAACGCTACAGCTTCCTAGCATTGTTTTTCTTCGCGGAGATTCTTAGCACCCCTTGGCCATTTAAGGCCTGCCACGAACTAGGGGACGTTGCTTGCAATGTCTTTTCCATCATTGTCTTTCTTGGGATATCCTTGAGGACCTTTAATACGGTGGTTTCCCATTGCCTTCCGTATTCTTATGCCGTTGACATTCTTTGTTCATCTGCCTTTTAGAGGCAGTTTCCCACCTTAAGGACAAAAGAGTGCCCTATCTCACGTATCCTCCTCCGCCCTCTATCCAGAGACCGTTGGCAAGGTGAGTGGAATCGCTTATACCGGCGACAGTTCGGTGAAAATTGACTTTATATTAGCCCTAAAATCTGGGTCGCCACTTCCGCCATTCTCGTCGTACCGAAGGTATCCTCCGCCGTGATTGCCGTTGTGGTCTTCATCCGTAACCCTGGACAAGGGACCCTAAACAGGTACTAGTTCCCCGGATCAGGGACCACCTGGAATCTGTGGAGGGCAGGGACTGATTCATTTTCCCTGATAGGACAGTCCAAGGAAATCCAAGAAGTTCCCACCCACTACTCACTGCTTCACACAAGAATTACCAATAATTTAATAAACCTGTTAGTGATAGTTACGAATTAGAGCCCTTACAAGAGAAACAGGTGGTAAAGAAACTAGAGAATAAATAAATAAAAAAAGAATCCAGTCAAGCAGGAAAGAGAAGAAGAAAGGCAGACCATACAGACATCCATGTCGGAAGTAGCGGAAAAGCGCTTAGGAACAGTGCAAATAAAGATACGGTTCGATGAAGAATGCTTTGGCAAGAAGAAACAGCAAAACTATAAAGAGACAAATAAAATGTCCAAAATATGATCGAAAACTATGTGGCTAGAAGAAGAGAAGTTAAAAAAAATTGCAGAAAAAAGAAAAGAGAACAGCTAGAAAAGCAAAAAATCAGAAGCCTGCAAGACCGAAGAAATAAAAATTTCTACCAAGAAGTTAAGAAATCCAGAGAAAGTATTGCAGGAACAAAGGAGGTGTACTTCTGGGAGAAACGACAGAAAAATCAAACAGATGTTTACGTGCAAAGAACCAACTTTTAATGAAGTCAAAGTAATAATAAGAGACCCAAAAATAACAAAAGAGCGGTAGAAAGTGGTATCCCAGTTGAGATTTTTAAGGAAGACTGCGAAACACCGAAAGACAATTCCACTTGACATTAGTAAAAGGAAGAAATGCAGAAACAATGGAATAGCGCTCGTATTTGTCCGATCTATAAACAAGACGACAAAACGAGGTGCGAAAACTATAGGTAGTCTATAAAATATTTAAATGCCATATTTTTCTTATTTTCGCGAAATAATCTCTTTAGAAAACTGCCTTCTTTAGTCAACATATACTTAGTCTTAAATGTCTTAATGGTCTACTCTGAGATTTCATTCTTATCGGTATTTAATGTTTTAGATAATTGTAGCAGGGATGGGTATACCTTGGATAGGCTATCTAGCAGGTTTTTTGATGGCGAAATTGTTAAGACAAAATCCCATAGACTCTCTAACTGTTGCCATTGAAGTTGGTATTCAAAATACTGGTATAGCTATATTCTTGCTAAATTTTGCTTTAATCCAACCTGAAGCAGATCTAACAACAGGTGAGATTATAAAAATCTTTTTATGTTAAAAAAATATAAAAAAAAATTATTTTATATATAAATAAAACACTCGAAATATAACAAAACGATTAACCAAATACAGTGGAACCTCGATTATCCGTCTCTCTATTAACCGTCACCTCTTTTAACCGTCAGGGTCAATACATGAGTTATATTGACAACATAAGTAAAAATTTAGTCATCAATTCATTTTGTTTGAGCATTTGCGATAAGCCAAACGAAATTCGTTGAAATGTACACGTAAAATTATGCTACCACCTCATTTTTTTATGTAAATAATTGTTGTTCTTATTCAGGGCTCTGGATTAAATTTCAATTTAAATAGGTAATGATAAATGATACTGTACTTTTAGAGTTTTATTTTTAGAATCGCAAGCCGAAAATCAAAACGTAGACCACAATAATTATTAGTCAATATCTGTGTGTCAAAATAATTCAGTTTGATTCAAATTCGAACATTGATTCTGTCACTTGTCGCATTGAGCAAAAACTGTGACGTTCCGAGAACAACAATCAATGATTTAAAGAGAATGCTGAAGGAATTGAAAAGTATGCTTCGCAAATGGAATCGTTGGATGGCCGGATGAAAAAGACAAATAAAAAGAGCCACAAATGAATCACTCCACACGGCACGATACGACACTCTGTATTTGTGGCTCGTTCAAAAAAGAAGCGAAGGTGTTTCTTTGTCTGGACCAATTGTTACCGAAAAAGCGTTGTTTTTTAACATGAGATTGAATGGCGATCCTTCATTCAGAGGAATCAGCGGTTTGTTAGAACAGTTTAAAAATTGGTACAGCAAAAAAGAGCACGTTGTTTCAAGGGCATAAATATGAACGTGCTTTCCGTTAACTACTACGCACAACATAATGCATGCATGTCCCAGGAAATATTAGCTAACTGGTTCAAAAAGGTATGCAAACCAAAATTTGTTTATCTATTTTTCTAACGTCTTGTTTTTTAAGTTTTTATACCGGATTCTCATTTTGGACAATATATCTGTCCATCCTGAAGTCGGTATGCTGCGGAGTGACGATAAAAATATCATGTACTCTTTTCTGAATGCGAATACAACATCATTGATACAGTCAATGGATCATTCGGTCATTAAAACATTCAAAAGAAGATACAAAAAAAAAATTATTCAAAACTTAGTTATGGAAGAGGAATATTCTTTGCCAGAATACTGGAAAACACGCAGTCGACAATGCTGTGGATGATTGGGCTGATGTTTAGGAAGTAACGCTAAAACTGAAAAGAGCGTTGAATAAATTATGGCTTGAATCAACTGAAGATGAAACCCCCCCTTAAATGAAGTTATGGCTGAATCAACTGTTTTGTTTTCATTGTCTAAAGATGACATAAACGAATGGTTAATTTGTGATGAGGACGCAAACAGCAATCCATTGCTGACAGATGAGAAAATCGTTGAAATGGCAACAGAGGCGGACGAAACTAATTCAGAAGCTGACAGAGACATTGATGGTGGTGATGTAGATGATGGTATTGCAACCCACAAAGATTTGCGTAAAGAAGCTAGAGAAGCTGCATCGGACATACAACAATTCATCAAGTGTTATTCTCGACAATAAGAAGCAAATAAGGTAGATTTGATGATTTTACGTCGATTAAGAAATTCAGCCGTTGCAAAATGTGAAGTAACAATAAAACAAACAAAGATTTCAGAATATTCTAAATCAAATTGATTCAACTATCCTAACATAAATCCCTCTTATATTGCCAAATAAAACATACAAATAAATTTTGAGAGTTATACTATGAATTTTTTTAATGTTCTGTTAACCGTCTTTTCGATGATCCGTCATACCCTTGGTCCGGTGCCCTGACGAATAATCGAAGTTCCACTGTAGATGATATTTATAGTCATTGATGCTAGACACTTCTCTAACCTTTTAGATGTTACGTCTTTCAGAGGAGCAAACATAGATAGTGATCACTATTTGGTTGACTCGATGTAAAGAAGTAATATCCAATCAAAAAAGATCGGTTGAACGAAAGAAAAAAAATATTAACAAACTAAAAGATCCGTAGAAAACAAATGTATATAGAGAGCAAATAGAAGATAAATTGGAAGGAGATATTAACCAGCTATGGATAAAAATACGAGATATTGTATTGCATAAATCTGCAAAAACGCAACATATCAAATAAACTTGAAGCAGGTTGCACACGGAGAAAAAATAAGAGTATAGTCGCCTCAGAAGGGAGGAAAAGCGTATCCATCGACTTAAAAATAGGGAGTATAAATAGAAAACGTTACATAAGACACAAAGTTTATTTGATAAAAATTAAAAAAGAAAATACTACAGATTTGTAAATTGTAGCCGTCAAGTATTTAAACCATGAATAAAAGGAAGTAGAGATATTGACGGTGAAATTCTACATGATATAATTTTCCGAAATAATATTCCGAAAACGGTACACAGTATAGAGTTTTACCAAGAGTACCTTTTTCGTGTAAAATTAAATGATGTTTAAGTTTACTTGAAATTTTGATTAATAATTATACTCTTAAAAAAGTTATATTGACTAATACTTAGTACGATCCGTGTAACTAGCGCCCTCTATGAGAATCAGATATAAAAATAAATTCATGGGATGTATCAGCTTTAAAACATATTCGTATAAAATTTCATTACAATGTTGCCAGTAGTTTCACAAAATCGTAAAAAATGCGTAAAATTTTTTCTTCAACGCGCTGTAACTTGAAAACGGATGGCGTTACAAAAATTTTTTATTAAGCAATCCTCAATTATTTTTCAGTTTTTTACCTACCCTAGAGACGGGGTTACCTTTTTTGAAACACCCTGTAGATAGATAGATAAGCACATAGGCAAATTTTAGAAAAATTACTAGAATATAATGTAGATACGCACCATCTCTTCGTCTACTTTAAAGCAGCCTATAACATTGTTAAAAGAACTGCACTATATAATACAATGGTAGACTTTGGGATCCCATACATAGAGTTTGCGAAAACTCTACATCATTTAATAATAATAATGGTCTAAAACAGGGAGACGGCATCAATATTAATAATGGTCTAGTGTGCCTCCTCTTTAATATTGCATTGGAAAAGGCATTCAGGCAGATAAATATTAGATTGAACGGAACCATCTTTAATAGCTTGACACAAATTCTTGCATTCGCTGATAATTCGTTATAGTTGGCAGAAGTATGAGAGAACCAGTGCAGTGTTTTACAAAGTTTACGCGGCGAGTGAACTAGAACTTTTAAACGAGGAAAAACCCAAATATATGTTGGTTACTAGAAGTCTCCATGGTCTTCACAAATATCTGAGAAATAAAAACCAAAAACGTACAGTAAACTTTAAGCTTAACGTTTACAAGACCTTAAGAAGATCGTTTTTGATTTGTGGGGCTGAAACATGGACTTTATCCCAAAACGACGAAAGGCTATTGTTATCTTTGAGAGAATAATACTTCTAAAGATTTTTTGTTTGGATTTAATGGTCTCTATGGCGTCGACGTTATATCTTTGAATTATGCATGCTATACATAGATCCTGATATTGTGAAATTTAATAAGGTGCAGAGGCTAAGATGGGCTGGGCACATTGCTAGAATTTCAGATAACGAGTACACGAAAAGATTGACATTCGGAAAACCAGAGGGCAGAAGAAGATGACGACAGCGTAGAAGATGAATTTCTAAGGGTCACAAGGTGGGGGGAGGTTGCTACGAATCGACGGGAGTATTATTATTTTTTTAAATTGGAAAATTCAATATAAACTATTTACTTTGTGATACCATAACTTGTGATTAATTGTTTTATGTATTTTAGTGGCTCCAGTCTCAGTGGCAGTTTTAACACCATTCCCTTTATTGTTCTTGTTTATCATTAAGAAGCTCAAAGCCCAGTTTTATCACTCGCATTCAAAACTATCACAAGAAGACAACGTAAAAGTAGACAATAATAACTCAACTGAAAACATATCCAACAACAGCGAATTAAGAACGGTCTACTGAGATGTGTATACGATTTATTTATCATGCAAAGAAAAATGTATAGTATACTGTTTAGAATGTGTGTTGTTTACTATAGAGAAACTTCATTATAGTTTTATTTTATATAAAAATGCGCAATGAATTTTTAAAAATTTCTCTGAAGTTGTTTAAATCCAATCCTCAAATATGTATAATGGTTTATATTATTTATATAAGTGGTTTTATGTAAAAACGAATATTTTACATTATTAAACAATAGTATTAATTTGCATCAATTTTTGTTATGATATTCTGATAAATATATGAATTATATAAATGAAAAATAATACATAGAAGCCGACGAAATGACCTGGACAGGGCACTTTGTTGTCCTGAGACTGAGAAATTGGTCTCGAAGGCAGAAGAACCAAGAAAGCGGTCAACGGCACCAGATGCAGCAACTAAAAACCACCCATTAAAGGTTCCTGATGATATCTCTAATATAAATTGTAATGGCTAGCACTAGTTACGCAGGAGACACTATTGATTATGGCAATCCGAGATCAAAATACGACAGGGGAGGATAACCATCAGAATGCCAGGCCACCTCGATCGTTAACATGCGAAACCCTTGCACGAAAAAATACTCAGCCCACTCCGATAAAAATAGCTACATGGAATGTAAGAAGTATGTATCATCCTGGAAACCTAGATAACGTTATCAAAGAGAAAGAGAGGCTAAATATAGCTCGTAAGCAAAACAATTAGAAAATTAGCGCTAGATTTGGTTCAAATTTCAGAAAGAATAATTATGTAATATTAATATTAATTCGATTCAAGTATATCCTTCCACAGTTGATAGGACTGAAGATGGGTTCAAAAAGTTTTATTCAGAATTGTAGAATACACTACTGAAGTTAACAAAGTCTAGAGACATTACGTACATTTTACGAGACTTTAATACAAAAATTGGAGCAAATACAGTTGAAAATATAGTAGTACTTTTCGGATTAGGAACTAGAGACGAGAGATAGGAATGAATTCTGACAAGAAAAGAATATGATAATTGTCAATACTTGGTTTCAGCATCCTAAGAGAAAATAATAATACTAATACAAAATAATAATAATATATACATGGACGTCTCCTACACATACAGAAACCACATTGTCAAAAATCAGATAGATTTTATACTCGTAAACAGCAAATTTAAAAACCATACAGCCTCAATTAAAACTTATCTTGGTGCCGATGTTAACTCTGACCACATTGCGTTAGTTACTGTCGTGAAAATGAAATTAAAAAGAATTAAACTCACAAGATAACCAAAAATTAATGTAAGAATGCTGAAAAACGATGAAATAAACAACAAATTAAAAAATAATGTGTGTATTAATATGCAATAAACACTTAAAGTTCATTTCATATGTCCGTGAAGTAAAGGAATGTACTTGTGGCTATATTCCAATAGGGCACTATTTTAACATTCTTTAGGGTGTTCAGCTAGAATATTTAAAATTTTTAATAATTTTTTACAATATATAATAATAAAATATATATATATATATATACATATATATATATATATATATATATATATATATATATATATATATATATATATATATATATATATATATATATATATATATATATATAGAAATGTTGGGAGCACTTAAACTTATATTTTAAAAAAGGTTTTATTTGAGAAATCACAAATTTACAAATTATGGAACTTTTGTTTTACAATGAAATTACAAATTAAAAAGAACGTTGAAAAATGTTTGTTGCACCTATTTATTGGTTCGGTTATGCTGCGTCTGCTTTCCGGGTCATCGGTCGGCTTGGGTTGCTGAGGATTATATTTCTCCTTCGTCCTCTGGAATTGACTTCGTCCTCGAAGTCTGGGAAACTTCTGCGATTAGCTGATCTAGAATTTGAATTTGGGCTGGCTGCAGTTTGGGTCCAAAAAGTAATCTGGAAATTCTTTTTTATTAGAAAAATAAAAATGAATAGTAATAGGAAGACTATTAAAATTAAACTGGTGGTGCCAAGTCCCTTGGAAATTTGTGGAAGAGGCTCCAATGTTTCTATCGGCTGAAGCTGACCATGGGTCTCTGGAATTTTGAATTTTTCAATTTGAATCTTATGCTCAGGTATCAATTTTATGGGAACAACTTCTGGGATGGAGATTTCTTGTGTAGTCTTTTTATTATATTTGGTTCCTTCTATGATAATTGGTTCATCCGTCATTAGGATACTACTGGTTATGACTTTCTCTTCTTGCATCTTTATTGGATTGACTACTCCTAATAATATTACTTTATTGGTTTCTTGGAAGAAGTTTTCTGTGACAACGACTTTAGTGCAATTTTGAACATTGGGTATGGAACATCTCGATTTGATCAATTTCGTACAAACTATGTATTCAGCATGTCCCTTACAGTCTTCGTACCATTTATTGTTAGCATAGAAATGTGTGGGTGGCAATATCATAATGTGATCTGAATTAGGGATAGGATAAATTCGATAGGTAAGGTATAGGTTAATGTCAAGGATAGGGATTTTTATTATTATGAGCATTGTTTGAGAAGTGACACAAACAAGGGCTTTAGATGCTTCTATAAGTTCATAAGGATGATTATCATCGATAAGAAGAGCATTTCTTGAATAAATTTGAAGATTTTCTTTTAAACTTTCGAGTTTGTCTAATGTGAATAATTCAATATTTGGGATATCTAAATGGGATAAAGTGTTCTGGTAAGTTTCATTAAAAATTCGTTGATATTCTGAAGGTTAATTATTTCATTATGTAGAGCAACATAGCTGTCAAAATCTGCAGATAATTTATTAACTGCGGATAGAAGTACGAAACTATTATTATTAATTTTGTTTATAAGTTTCTCGAATCTCGTATCAATTGACTGTCCAAATGAGATTTGATTGTTAAATTTTTTTATGATTTCATTTTCTTTAAGTTCAATAGCTGTAATGTGTGTTCTTATATATCTAGATCTGAATTATCGGGATTACCCGCTACATATTTAATAGCTGTTCCAAATTAAAAAGTCATTTTTTCTGTTTTCTAGTTATTTTGTGTAAATTGTCTTTAGCTCGGTCATGTAAGTGATTATACTAGGAATACAATGAGGACAGGGGTCCATTTTTAATAGGGGTTTTAAAATAGTAAATAGGATCTCGTTCTAAGGTTCCCTCTAATTTTTGTAAATTTATGTGCAAGATATGTATGTGATAATGTGAGGTTTCTCTGGATTTTCCAACTTCTTCGGCAAAATAACCATTATTCGGAATTTGTTGGATCTTGAGAAGATGTCATAGGGATAGGATCGTCCTGTAAAGAAGTTTTGTCAATAAGTTTTCGGGCTCTTTTTGAAAATTTTAAGTGAGTACTTGTTTCGTTTTGTTTGTCAGTTTTACCGACTACTTTTGTCTTATTTTGTTATTTGTTTCGGGTATCTCTTCGGCAGTCTCGTTTGCTTTGTCAAGTATGTTTTGTCTTTTTTCTTTTTGTTTTTTGTATAAGTGTTCTATAAGAGGTTCATCTTTGTGTCTTTGGTTATAGGTTTCATATACCGGAAGGTCAAAATCGAAATGTATTTCTTCGGTATAAGGTCCATAGAAAAAGGGGAATAGTTAGTGGCACTCTGGATTGATTGATTATACATTAACACAGCGTGGGTGAAGATATCATCTAATGGATCGTTTGGATTTTGGTTTTTTAAAGTTCTAAGCTTTTCGATAAGGGTAGAACGAAATCGTTCTACAGGAGAGTTCGAAGATGAATTATTTACTGTAGTGAAATGTAGTTCAATTTTGTGAAGGTTCATGAACTCTTTAATAACGGCAGAATTAAATTCTGTACCACTGTCGCATACTATTTTTTTGGGATAGTTGTGGTGTGAGAAGTAGTGTCTGAGTTTGCTTAGGATTGACAAAGAAGTTTTGTCGGGTATTTTGTAACACTGTCCATACTTGGAGAATGAATCAGTAACTGTCAAATAGAGATTTTTGTTGCAATGGAATAAATCTATGTGTATGATATCAAAAGGTTTTTGTCCAAGTAAAGGTCCTAACTGTGGAAGTTTATAGGGACGTCTTTCGTATTTGTTTTTTAGGCAAATTTCGGTATGGTATTTCTTTACGCATTCGATGTGTCTTTCTTCTTCTTCAATGTCTTGTAGTATTTTATTGCAGAAAAAGGTGTTAGCAGTTGAGTCTATATTTTCTCTAAAGTAGTTGCAAATGAAAGCTCTAAATTCATGGGAAACTTGTATGGCAAATTTTTGATTGGGTCTTAAGATATATTTAAAAGATTCTGGTATTTCTGTTTTCCTTCTGTGCCATTTACTGTATCTGTCATTTCTGTATCTATGTTTGTTAAATATTTTCCTATAGACTAAATCGAATTTTTCGGAGTGATCGATAATTATAATTTCATTTGTCGACATATTATAATTTTGTATTCCAGTAATGGGATTTTCAACTGCAATGTGTTACGTATCGTCATAATTTTGCAGTCGATCATATTGTTCTAGAAATTCGTCTGGGTCGAACTGTTCATCAATATCTGAAGGTTCGGCACGTTTGAACTGGTACTTAAAGCATTAATTTGTACTCTAGAAATGGCGTCAGCAACTTGATTTTCCTTTCCTTTCTTATATTTTACATAAAAATTATATTCATCAAGTTTTAGTCTCCAACGTGCTAGTCTAGACGTAGGATCTTTAATTTTATAGATCCAAACGAGAGGATTATGGTCTGTTTCGATCAAGAACCTTTGGGGATATAAATAAGGACGAAAATGTTTGCAAGAATCTATGATGGCTAAGAGTTCCTTTTCAATTGTGGAGTAAGCTTGTTCAGTTGAATTTAGAGTTCGCGAATAATACGCGATTGGATTATTGTTCTGAGAAATCACAGAACCAATAGCTACATTGGAAGCATCAGTAGTGAGAACAAAAGGTTTTGAAAAATCTGGATATTGGGGTACAGGGGCATTGGTTATTAATTGTTTGCATTTTTCAAATGATTCTAGATAATTAGGATTCTTAGGATCGACTACGGCTCCTTTGCGAGTACATCTGGAAAGAGAGGATGTAATTTTAGCAAAATTGGGTATAAATCGACGATAATATCCTATAAGACCTAAGAAGGATTTGATTTCTTTGACTGATTTTGGCAATGGAAATTTTTGGATAGCTTCTATTTTGCTAGGATTTGGTTTAATACCATCAGCGGTTACTAAGTGACCAAGAAAAGCAACTTCTTT